GGCAGAGACAACATCCCTTCTCTGCTGATCATGGCTGTACTGTTGCCATGGTGACTCCTGATGCCAAGGAGACAGAGGACATGGCATTGCATGTAACTGGGTGGCCTGCCTACAAAGCAAGACCTCCTCCACTCCAGAGACACAAAGAGGGTGAAGGGTCCCAGCGAAGCCAGGAGGTTTTTCATTGTTGTTGTTGAAGGAATCAATAACAAGAAGGCACCTGAGACTCTGAGATCAGAGAGGGAGCACTAATCCCTGGCTATCAGGAGATCATAAGATGTGGGTTGTCATGGTGTGGCTTAGCCATTCCCTCCCACCAAGGTATTAGGGTGGTCACTCCCCTAATAGCTTCCTTCTTGGTGATTAATGAGTCCTTCAAGAGGGGGCAAACCATTCACTCATGGACCAAACCTAGGGTTCCCAGGACTTAGGCCTCCCCAGGGATTTCCGTAGGCAATGCCAGGTTCCTGAGAGAAAGAACTCTTTGCCTGGGAGTGCACCCCCAATTGATGCTGTTCCTGCTGCCAGAGGGAACTCTGGTCACGCCACCCCAGCTAATTCTTGCATGAATGTGCTTATGCTTTCCAACTCCTGCAGCAGGAGCCTGCTGGCTCCAGGGTCCCCTATTGCAGGGTTCAGAGAACACATTTATGGGGGTTAACATAGAGTGGGGAAGGTCCATGAAGGCAGCAGCTCATGATGGACACTGAGGTGTAACAGAGGAACTGATTCAGAGTCCCTTTATGAGCTCCTTCTCCTTGGGCTAGTGAGGAACTCTTGTTCTCTGTATTATACTAGCTCTGCACATCTTCCCACGACCAGGTCTGAAGAAGTCTCCTGAAGGATGCATTGTGGCTAAGGGCATTGGCTTCTGAGCCTGGAAGCCCAGGTTCTAATCCTGGCTCAGTCACTTCTGTGCTGAGTGCCCACAGTCATTTTACTCAGCCCTTAGTTTCCTTTCTTTAAAATAGGCCTTGCAGTACCTTCCCCTACACATTATTGCAAAGACAAGCTGAGATGCTGTGTATACAGCTGTGTAGTACACGTTCTGGCGCCTACCAGTGATGCAATAAATGTTAGCAGCCATGATTAGGAGCAGCAGTAAGTAGTTCATGCGAAACAGCTGGTGAGGGAAAGGGAGTTATATGGAGTGAAGTTTTGTTCGGTGCTCTGTAATTGGCATGCTGCTTGGCAAACTCTGAGCCCCTCTAACGGTTTTGTCTGCCTTCCAAGAAAATTGAACAACAGGTGTCTGGGTTGTCTTAACTTACTCCAGCCCGGAGGCAGTCTGGTTTGTTTTAAAACCTCCTGCAGTAGGTTTAAAAGCTTCCACCTCAAATGGCCACCCCACCTGAGTCACTTTCCTGTGTACACTGTATAATCAGTGGGCGCTACAGGAAGACCTGATTCCCAGGGGAAGCTGTAAGCCATAGCGTGCAGCTGTTCACTGCAGGAGCCCAGTGACATGTGGACTGCTCTTTCTGCTTTGGGAAGAGTGGGCTCTGAACTATGAGATGGGACCAGAGGGGATGTTCCTGGCTGCCATGGAGATGGTCACCACCTCCACAGTTGTCCTAGGAGCTCAGGAGCCTGAGTGGGGAGAGTGATGGAGGGAATGAAATGGGCTGGGTGCTTCCAACCTTGGCTTCCCAGGTGCCTTCGTGTGAGATATTTCAGTTCCAAACACATGTCCTGCTGTCCCAATGGGTGCACAATCCACTTCCTAGCAACCTGTTTTAAGGGGCGAAGCTGACAGAGTCTCCTGAGTTCTCAAAAACAGTAAGCGCTGGTAGCAACAAAAACAGAATGTGTGTTTCTACAATGAGTGGCTGCAGGAACTGAACCTCTTCAGGATCGATTACAGGGAGATACTCGCTATTTTCAAACATGCAAAGGTGACAGCTGACTTTTCTGAGTTTCCCAGGAGCTAGGATGGAGGTTTAGTATAAGAAAGAGTGCTCTAAATCCTAACAGTGCAGCAAGGGTTCATTCATCACAGAAATCATCTGCGAATGAGTGACGAGTGACAGGAGAGGGCATTTGGTGGAGGGTGGAATTAGGAGATCCTGCACCAGCTAGGTGAAAATTATGTGTGGATCTCTGAACTGTAAGATCTTGGAACTGGAGCTAAAGGAGGTAGACATCATGTGGCTCCAGAAGATGGCATTACATCTGGTGGCATCTCCTGGGATCACAGGAGCATGTCTTTGTAGATTGATCCTCTGTAGCTTCTGCGAGATCCTGGGATATCCTGTTAGGAGGGTTGGCCCCCAGGGAAAGGTGCCATGACCCTTCCTGCTAAGCACACACCGGACAGCATGTTCAGACAGTGGAGAAGTTCAGAGACAGAAGGGGAAAGGCAGGACAACCACCTGCAATGCGCCCACTCTGTCACCAGTGGCACTACCACAAATGCCAGAAAGAAAACATCCAGGAGCATACGTGGGGCAGAGACAGCTGGGCTTTATGATGGGTCAACCATCTGAGAGATTGAAAAGGAAGAAAAAAGCCAAACCTCTTATAGAGAGCCTCTGAGTCAAAGGACAGGAAATTAGCCAGACTACCAGGTTATTCTAATTAGAGATTTCTTATCAGAGCGTCTCCAGTCTAACAGAGAAAATCCAATCTATAGCCGGCTGAACACTAAATTAAGTCTAATCAGGACCTGCTTTCCAATTGCTCACCAGCAGGTCAAAGCCAATGATGGCTACTCAAGCCTGAGTTGCCAATTCTTTCTGGAAGTAAGCCTGCTTGAGTTGTGTCAACTCCTCGTCTTGACTGAGGGCGGGACTTTGTCATTACCCCTAGCCTGCCAGTTCCATCTGCTCCAGTGAGTGCAGTTCACCTGGAGCTGTCTTCCTAGCCCAGACCAAATCCTACTGGTTTTATGTGTGTGTGGCCCATTTCCTTTCTTTAAAAATATGCCCTTATAGAATCTTCAATAACACTAGTCACTAATGCCCATGTGATGTCTCCTTGGCGTGTACAAGGGCACAAACACACAGATGATAAAAGCGAATCCATGCCAGCCTGGCAGGACACAGCACCCTCCAATCTACCTCCACGTGGCTGCCTTTGTTATTCTTCTTCCAGGGGATTAATGGCTCTAGTTAACCAGCCTTGTGGAAGCAGTTATAACTTACAGTTTCTTTGCCAGGAGCAAAGAATGCCATCTGTGAAACTCCCAGCTCCCTGTAGAGCCCTAGCCTGTCGCTGTGAAACACTGGCTCAGAGACTCACCAAGGGCTAAGACCTCTGAGTAAGAATGTGTCCACACAGAGACACACGGAACCAAACAGACCCGGAGAGAGAGGCAGGGAGATGCAAAGAAAGCGTGCTCTGTCTCTCTGGCTTTTATTTAGTGTTACCAAATAAGCCTGACTCTTGCTATGATAGATTTGCTGCCCAGAAACTTGCTGGGCATTTCATCCCAGCATGATTCACATTACTGTGTCATCCGGGAAGAATGTGTTCAGGGCTGAGTCTTAAAGGACGTGAGAAGGGTAGCGAGTAAAGATGTGAAGGTTGGAGAAAAGTCCTAGTTTTTCAAGAAGAGTGGCAGGAGCCAACCGCATTGGGTTGTCCCATCTCCTTTCCTCTCTGTTTCTGCCTTTCCCTTCCATTTGAAGCCCCAGCTGCACTCCCCAGCCTGCAGACTTACACTGGGTTCTTTTATTTTTTGCTTTTTGAAGGATTTTAAAAAATATTTTAAAAAGAGAATAAAAAATAGTAAAAAAAACCCATTAGAAATGATACAGAATTTCACTAAACAAAATAGGAATCCAACCATGGCTGTCCCATTGCATCTTGCTGTCTTTAGATTATTTTTTTCAGATGACTTGATTTGCACTGGGTCCTTCATACTTGCACATGGGAGGCAGAGAGGCCTCTTCCTTACTGCCTGGGACTTGATGTTAATTTTAAAACAGTAAGACAGATTGACACAGACAGGCCTGTCTGTACTCAGATGCGCACCTCTGCAAACATCTCCTAAATCACAAGATCACAGAAGTGCTACTCAACCTTCCACATCTATTTTGCTGTGTGATGGAAGGCGAGTCATCACCTCTCTGAGACCCGATACAGCGGAGCCTCGATTCTTGACCTTAATTCTTTTTTTGTTACAACCAGAATCATGGAAAGAATTAAGGTCATGAATCGAGGCCCCGCTGCATTCTCCATTGCTCAGAGGATACTCAAGATCAATTTCTAATGTCAACAGGGAACTGTGATGGTCCCAGAGGGGACATGCATAAGTAGGCACTGGCATGCACCCATGCACATGCGTACACACACACACACACCGACATTACTTAATCATGCACCAGAATTGACTCTGCCCTCATCATAAAATGTTAAAATATACCACAAGCTAAATTCTTTTCTTCCCATCTTCACATCAAATATCTTCAAACATTTAAGCTCAAATGTCCAGAATGAAATAGATGTAAATAAATAATCTCAGAGCTTAAAATTCAATGCAACAACTCTTTAAATTCATTGAACACTTCCCCTCTTAGCCCTATGTTGCCCAGATAGAGTCACCCTGTGACTGATGCTGCTCTGCTCTGTAATCATTGCACCCCACCTGGAATTTTTCTTCAAGGTCAGATCTCTAGCAGCAGCTCTGTTGTCGTGTTCATGTTAGAATTAAGCCTGGGATTATTAGAGGTCCCTAAATCTTAGCACACTTGTGCAAGACACAGCCTTTTGAAAGGTACATCTTTCTTAACCAGTCGTTCCTGATTTATCCCTGGGCCAGGGTTCAGAATCATACCATGAAGGCCTGTGTACAGTGACCTCTGCCTCCCTCTGCCAGTTCTCCCGCCCTCCATCCATGTAAAAGGGGCAAAGCAGGTAAGAGGTGGACAGCCCAGAAGTTTCCGTTTCCCTGTAGTGCACATAATGTCAAAGAACTCTCTAGAGCTTGGGTCCACATTTTCAGGCAAGAACCTTCAACCAGTCCCAGAGATGCAAACAGTGACAAGGTGACTACTCACAGTAGCTGCAGGGACACCAGCCCGTCAAACAGCCCCTTGGCGATCTCGGTGATCTTGTTCCCATACAGAACTCTGGAAGAGAGCAGATGACAGTAGTCACCATGATGGGAGGGTTCCAGAGCCCACACATGGAAGAGGTCATTGCCTCTGTCAGTACCGGGTGCATGATCTTGGGCCACCTCCTTCCTTGGCCTGCCTCATCCTTTCTCCTCATCATAAGACAGAGTCAGGCAAGGGCAGCCCAGGGCTGGAGGGGCAGGCTGTCCCAGAAGCAGGAGAGATGGGCTCCATCCTGCTTGGCTCCCGGGCAGCCTGGCCCAACGCATCATCCACAGCAGGAAGCAGCAGCCCCTTGGCAGTGCCTCCCTGAGCTACAAATGTGACTCAAACTCCAGCAATAAATAAGCATGTGGGAGGCTGGCCAGCTCTGTGCCTTCGATGGGTATTGATCAGGCTGAGCCCAGCCGACGGAATGTTTCTTTTTAATATCCCATTGAATCCTAGGAATTCCTGAGCTTAGTCCTTTAATCATCCATCTAGACAGGGCTCTAGAGGCCCGGGGGCCTCTGCAGATGGCTCAGGGACTGCTAAGTCAAAGACTGGCTTGCAGGAAGAACTAAGAATCTTCAATTTCCTTCTCCTTTCTCATGCTTTAAAATCCAGGGGACCAAGAACCCAGAACACCCTTGCCCTGCTCTCTGTTTCAGGCTTACATTGTCCCTCACAACTGTATCTGCTCTTCATAGGCCTCATCTTCGAGGATGTATAAGGCCTGGGAGGAAAGCTCCTGGCCTAGAGTCCAGTGGCTCTCTGGACCTGGGCCTTGTAGACTTTCTGCATAGCAACCGTGAGGCGCTTCTGGCCTCTCTGCTTCTCTCCAGAGTGGACCTGGCTGTCTCTTGGGTCCAGTCTTTTCTCCAATCAAGGAACTGTACTAAAGAAAGTTGGGTTAGTTTGGTTTTGTTAAAAATCCTCTCTAGGGGCCCTAACATGTATGAAATGAACGCATTATTGAATTCCCACTTGGATCACAAATGCTGGCTGTGATACTCATTTGAGGGGGCAAAATATTAGGATGAAGAAATGGTAAATGGGAGTGATAAACCAAATCCCCCATCTCAGACACCACCAGGAGCGAAGAGCAAGCATCTCCAGCTGCCTGCGGGTGTGTTTCATTAATGTTTCAACAAATTAATGACTAAATAGGAGGCAGCATGATGGCTCAGGCTCACATTTGTAATTCATATTAATGTCCCACTGTTCATGGTGCCAAATGTAGTAATGCCACTGTCTGCTCATCTCAGTGGATGTCAGAATTCTGAGTGTGGCAGAGGCGGGTGAGCTGGTAGGGCTGGGAGGCTTGGGACAGGGGGTCCTCATTCCACCAGTAGTGCTCAGATGGGGCATCTCCAAGCATCCTGGATCACCTCACATGCCCATGCACCCATCTGAGGGACGCCAGCATGTGATTCTCCCTGACTTCCACCCCAGGGCCTGGCTTAACTATCTTCCTGTAAGTCTGAGCCCCAACATTTCTCCTTGGGAAGACTTCTAGATATTTCTGTGAGTATTTTTCATCACCTGTTAACTCTATTATTATTTCTTTAAAGTATTTTTTTATTTTTATTTTTTTAGAATATGCTTTCCTTTAATTTCTGCTTTAAAAGTAAAGCATAGTAAGTATTAAGCTTTACATTACTGTTGAAAGCCTTTTTTTTTCTCCATAATTTTATTGATAGTTTCAAATCAAATTGGTAGGACAGTTTCAATAATTAACACGTTGCATACATTCTTCCTAGTGGTTAATTGCTGTACTAGATGCGGACGTGATAACCTATTTACAAACACCATTAGAACAAATCGCTCTATTCATTAAGAGAATGTAACTATATATCTATCCCAACCACTTTGAATACACAGATACAAAATGGACATTCATCTGTATTCCCTTTTTTTGTTAAGTTCCATTATTTGAATATTATAGGTGTGTGAACTCAGCAAAATATTCTAAAAGAGTCCAGTAGCCCATAATAGTATTAGGTCTTCTGCTTGACTGGCAATGTCAGAAATTGTTGACCTGAGTCGCCCACAACTCAACATTACAGCATAGCTTTACTTCTTACATTTCATTTTTATACTTATCTGCTGGATGGTTAAGACCAAGGTAAAGCAGGACCTATGCAACAAGAGTTGGAGCTTTTGGGTCTGATAAGGTCAGTGAAATCCTCTCAGGATTTATCCTAAGATCCTATACATAAGATTGTAGAACCTTTGTCGGTGTCAGCCATGTGGATGAATCACGGCCATTGCTTGGCCAATGTGCTCTCTGTGAAAGCCTGAGAGAATGTTTTCTCCCCATGTGACTCTCCTTAGGCACGCTCTACGTCATTGATCACTTTCCTCTTTGGCCCCATAATCTTCTTGATCAGAAAATTTGGGACACTACAGAGTTCCATGACATTACAGTACAAGTTCTCATATGTCCTGAGTCTTAATTGACCTTGGAAGGCTAGGTCCAAAATGTTGGCTTATCTTTCAGCCCTCCTTTTTCTTTAATTTTGGTCTGTAAACTTAGGTTGTTAACCATCCAGAAGACAAGCTTATTGTTATTACCATACAACCTAGGCTGTTAAGCTTAACCTTGCTATCTGTCTGCATATCAAACATCTTAGTTGTAATATGGAACAGGTATTTTTATCAAGCATTGATATGTTGAACTTTAAGTTCCTACAAAACATGATAAAAACATTTAAAAATTAGAATATATTTTAAAAATAGGTATAAAGAATTATATACTTATGTTTACACATAAGTGCAAAAATCTAACCATATACAAACTTGAAGCAGGACAGTTCCACAATATTCCTTTTCCTGTCTCTTGCTTTCATTCACCACCCCCTTCTTTTTGAACAACCATCTACCTGAGAGACAGCATAGCAACAACTGGCATGTCATGGCAAGCAGCCTGTATTCAGAAGACCAGAATGACAGGCACTCCAAGCATGAAACTACTATTACAGATTACCATCTGCAGTGCAGTTGCTTATTTCACAGGTATCAGTATATATAGTTAGTCAGGGTGAGAATATTTCCAATTAACTGCTAGATTCAAAAATCTTCTGGAGATGCTCAGGATCATTGCCTTGCCCGTCTTCTACATATAACTGTATGGCTTGACATTGTCATGTTTCCTAGCTCTTCTCCTTTCCCTTAAAGTATTTATTTTTGCATTATTTTTATATTTATTTATTTTTAACTTTTATGTCACTCTAACAACTCTCTTGAACTTAGGTTCCATGAGTATGGTGACAGTATGGATTTGCTCATGGCTGGGTCCCTAAAGTCAAAGATCCAACATGTTTGGCACAATAAATATCTGTTGAATGAATGAATGAATGAATGAACAAACAGGTATCAATCAGGTAAGGCTCTCCAGCTCTCTAACGGGCCGTTTCTGAGCTGGGATTGGATGAGTGAATATTCAACTCTCAGATCCATTGTCTTTCTAGTTCACTGCTACATTCTTTGTGTACTGTGTACACTGCTTAGTACACAATAGGCATCTCCTGAATTGATGGGAGAATAAATCATGGTGAGAGGCAGTTCCCTTCAGCAATGCTCAATATGTATATGAGAACCGAGTGGTGGCATGGCAAATTCATGTTCGGTAACTACATTTTGAATTTCTTTTCCTGTACACATTCCAGTGTCTTTAGACTGTCCCTAAATTGCAGCGGAGGAAAAGCAGACAAAGGGGATGGGAAGAGGAAGGTGTGGAAGGCTAGAGATAGGATACGGTGGCAGGCGGTTGCCCTCTCCCTTTTTGCCTGTGATCTTAGGCACAATAAGCAGACACTAATCTCACACACAGTCCTGTCTTTGATATCCCGGCCAGATGTTCTTTTTGATAAATGAAACTAATTTACTCCGCGGGCATCAGACAACAACTGAATCAGAGACTTCTCTGTCCTCAGCCCCTGCCCAATGGCATGGAGCCAGGGAGCAGGGCAAGGAATGCATCCCTGTTCTCTGCCCTTTCACGCATCAGGCAAACAGGTCACATAGAGAAGCAAAGTGTCCCCAGCTTGCCTCTGCCATCTTCCTTGCTGTCTCATAGCCTGGATGTAGGGAACTGGCCACTGGATGACTTAAAACAGGATCAATTAATGAAGACTTTACTGTAGCTTACTTACATTTGACTTTCCACATTATATCAAGAGTTTCCAAAGCATGGAGATTAAGAGCACAGGTTCTGGAGCCAGATGCTGTGGGTCCACGTGCTGCCTCTCCCACTTATTACTGGTGGCTTTGGATAGTTCCATTTACTTCTTTTAACATGATTTTAAAATAGTCATATGCTAGGTACACTTCAAGGTACCAGGAATACAGGCAGGCCGAAAGCAGATAAGGAGCTTTGGTTACTCACTTTCTTTCTCTGCCAAAGAGAGTTAGTAGCTTGTCTAGTTTAGGTTGTTGTGAGAATTACACCCATTGAGACTCCTAGAACATAGCCAGCTGTGGCACTATATGCCTGTAATCCCAGCACTCTGAGAGGTTTAGGCAGCAGGATTGCACGTTCATGCGCAGCCTGGGCATCTTTGAGTGAGGCCTTGTTTTAAAATTTAAAAAAAAAATTTAAAAAGGGAGGGGGATGTAGCTCAGTGCAAAGGCCCTGGGTTCAGTCCCCAGTACTGAAATATAAGAGAAAACAAAACAGTAGATTCCTGGAACAGTACAGTGGTACACAGTCAGTGCTCAATAAGTGCTACTGACCATTGCTGTCACGGTAAGCAAGATCACTGAATGTGCTAGGTGGGGAAGATGCCACTGTCCCCACTTTTCTGCACATTTGGAGAATGTTCACAGGACTTCTGGATGCCCCCTAGTGAGCCACCTGGGAAATCAGAACCCAACTGCACACCTTGCTGCCCCCGGTGGCTCCAGTGGGATGCCTACAGGCTTCCAAATCAAAAAATGGAGGGGAACAGGATGGAGTCTCTGTCTTCTTAGGACAAGGCCACGAAGTTGGTTGGGAGAAAAAGTCTAAAAATTAGCAGAAGAAAATAAGCTCTTCTTTTGCCAAGGACACATATACAACTGGGAAGCAAAGGGCTCTCAGCGATAGACACACATTACCATTCTCGCCTCTGTCCTCCCTAGAGACAGCACAGCTGTGGTTATGGGGGAGGGAGCATGGGTAGGGGCAAAGATGCATTCGAATTAGAAACCAATAACTGGGAGAGCTGCTGGGCACTTAATCGATAAAAATAATGCATTTGAGTTGTAGAAATATTCCTCAAGATCAATTTCCCCTGAAGAAATATTCATTTCTTTTACCAGGTTGCCACATGTGTGTTAGGGAACAGAAAGCCTTGAGAAGCCCGCTCTGGAATAGGTGGGTGCCCTTCCCCCATCCAGACCCCACTTACAGCGATGTGAGAGACTTCAGGCCCTGGAAGGCATCTGGAGCTATGTCCGATATCTGATTCTTGCTGATATCTCTGAAAACATTAATGGGAGAGTCTGAGAATGTAGTCTGAAGGTGATAATAGCCACCCCTACGTGCAAATTGAGCAGAGCATGTATTCAAAATGGAGAGGATTAATTGATCAATGATGCAATTCTTTTACTCTTTGCACAAAAGAAGGCACCTGTACCATTCATTTCCACTGCCTGGTAACAACGGCCATGAAATTGGTGCCATTCCGCTTGGGTTTCAATGGTCACTCATCCATGGCACCATCGCTCCAGGACATGTGGGTCTCATTTTGTAGGGGTAAGCCTGTCTCTTGGGGCTTTGTGATAGGTCTAGTTATCGATCAGTTAGTGACACAGATCAAACAGGAACCAGACTTTCAGGCCAGGGTTCCTTTAAGCAGTGCCTTTTTGTCTTATGCCTCAGCAAATGCCTACTTATCTCCCAGGAAGATCTGAGTCAGTGACTCCCCGGTGAATTTGCTTCCTGACCTACAAGGAGTTTGGGGGCAGGGAGCTAAACCTCTGTCTGGTTCCATACGTCCACGGGATGTATGACATCAGCACATCGCAGGATTCTCAAGGGACACCTTGGAGATATGGCTTTGTCACTGGCTACCCATGTTCCTCACTTTGACGTAGGTCCAGTGAGGTGACAGTGTCTGGGGTTTTAGATAATATGTCTGAGAAGGTGTCACGTGGCAGAAGGATCACTGGCTATGAGGGGGCTAACCTGGTCTTATGGGTCAGAGCAACCTCTCAACCCAGCTCCTTGACAGAAGCCCTGGACTGTGCATTTTCAGCACTCCAGGGACCCCTGAGAACTGGCCACTGGCTCTTGTTAATGGCCCTTCATTCTGTGAGGAGATTCTCTCCCTCAGAGTCATTAGTTTAGGGCTGGCCTTTGGGCTTCCATCACTCCAAGGAGAGATGCTCCAATTTCCTGTGACAACAAACCTCTCCAGTTCTTTTTCTTTAACAAAATAAATCAATGTCTCCTTGCTTTTTTTTTTTTTTTTGCTAGAGAGGGAGAGCTAGGGTCCTTGCAGGTCAACAAGGAGGAGACAAGTGGATACTGAGAAGGGAGCAAAACCAAGCAAGCTGTAAGCAGTTGCCTCCAGTGAGAATAGACACCCAGCCCCAAGTGCACACGAGGAACATTATTCTTGAGACTATTCCCTCCATCTCGCTGCCTTGGCAAGGGCAAGGGCCTTGGTACCACCTTGGGGCTGGACCTCTGCTCCTTTCCCTCACCATTCCCAAAGCCTGTAATTTGAAAGATACTTCACAGGTTAGGGCCTCTTCTGCACAGCCGTCTGGTTTATCTCTTTAGCTGGCAAGATCGCCTCTAACAAATCCACAGATTGAGCTCACAAACTCGTCAGCTTACACTGGGCTTTTCTTCAGCGCTCCGTTTTTGTATAAGGGTCTTAACAAGCAAATACCCCGGATTATCCTAATCTTGCTCACCCTCTGTATAGCTGCCTAGAAGAGGATTGTGGGCAAGCAAGCAAGATTTGCACAGATCAGACTCTGGAGAGGGCCTGTTTTGACTCTTTTTCCCCCCTGGTCACTCATTGTCCCTTGAAGGTACTGAAACCTCTAGCAGGCAAGTAGAATCCTGTGGCCAGTGGGGAAGCCTGCTGCCTCAGATCTGTGAGGACACAGTTAGACTTTTGGCCTCAGCCTTTGCTATAGCATGAGGTGAGAGGTCTGAGGGCTTTGAAGATGATGGCGCCTGGAAATCAAAGCATTGGTTTAGCTGGGAATGCACCCTACAGGTTACCTTTTCCACCCAGGTTTGCAAATTGTCTGTCTGTCTGTCTGCCTGCCTGCCTGCCTACCTACCTACCTATCTACCTATGGTTATAACATGATGTTCGGAAATGTACCTTCATTGTAGATGGGTCAAACCAAGCTATTTCACTTACATATTACTCTACGTGTTCACGATTTACTCATAGGGAGACCATTTAAAATGGTCAATCAGCAATTTCAAGAATACAACCTCTGGTTGTTAGCAAGCGTCACCATGTCATACAACAGAGCTCTTGAATTTCTTTCTCCTGCCTAGCTGAAATGTTTTATCCCTTGGTCAACATCTCCCTAGTTTGGGTGGCTCTCACCTCTCCCAGAGACTCTGGGGCCTACCACCCTACTCTGCTTCTATGAGCTCTCATGAGTAAGTGAGATCATGTGGAATTCTTTGTCTTAATTCTTAATTCTGCAGGAAGGAGACAGTGTCCTGAGAGGCCAAGGACCTGGAGGCACAGGTGACTGGACAGAGTCATTCGGGTCCCAAGAGGGTATCTTAGTTTTCGGACTCTAAGCTCAAAGCTGCTGCTATCTCACCATAAGGAATACACAGCATGGTGGCATGGGACAGGAAGGCCTGAGCTGACCTCTGACCTCTACACTATCCTTTGCTGTTCACCATGAGGCAGTCCTAGAACTCACTTTGCACACTGTGGTCACCCCGATCAACAACTCTCAAATCTCCCGAGGGTGTTCTACAACTCATCCCTAGCAAGTTTGACTTGGTAGTCTGGAGTTTAAGGGGTGGAAATCTTCAGATCTGACAAATTTCCTGGACATTTTCATATAGAGGTCCCATGGATCTTACTTTAGGCTACAGTGGTTTAGGGTTGGATCAGCCTCAGACCTACCTCAGTCCCCTGAAGCTGTACCCTGGATGACCAAGAGTGGTGGTTTTTAAGATTGAGGGAGCAAATTCAACTGCATGTAAGAGTTAAATAGGAATGTACAAGATACTAGGAAGTCTTAGAACTGGGGAAGATCACTCTATCTAAGAGCAATGAAAAGAAATCTATACACCATCTGGCAAAACAACCCAGGTTTGGCTTCAAGGTGTCACAGCTAACAACTCTAGAAAACCAACCTGATAAAACCAGGCATTGGAGTGATCTCCAGTGTTTTCTATTCTTCCTCCAAAGGGCTTTTCTACTTCCATGGCAGTTTGTTTTTTAATCTGGGACTGATTATGTATGCATGAATACATGTATGTATGTATGCATGTAGGTGCATTCATGATTCAGTCCAGGGCCTCACACACTGTAGCCAAAAGCTCTACTGCTGAGATACCCCCCAGGCCTTTAATTTTTTTTTTTTAAAATTTTTTAGGTACTTGGGATCAAACTTGGGACCTTATGCTTGCTAGGTAGGTGCATATGTTGCTGAGCCCTGGTCCTAAAGTTTTGTTTTAAGGAAAGGTCTTTCTAAGTTGTCCAAGTTGGCCTTGAACTTGGGATCCTTCTATCTCTGCACCCTGAACAGCTGGAATCACAAGCATAGGCCATCAAGGTCAGATAATGGACTATTTTTTAATACTAAGGTGACCATTAGTAATAGGCAAAGACAGAGTCTATTCCTGGATAATTCATTTTTTAGAGAAGAGATAAGAACAGGATGTAGTTCAGACATAGCCCTGGGAGAAATTTCTTTTGTCAAATATTGGGAATAAAGCAATCATGGATAGCTAAGACAAATTCACATTTAGGAATTTGAAATCCATTATTGCTTAGGACTCTAATTTTCCCAAGGCATTAAACTTCCATCTGGGCTTCCGAAGTTCTGTTAGTCAAAAAACTTTAAGTGGGCTCTTTTCCCTACTGCCATCCCCTTGGGGGAAGCAAGGGCATCATAATAAATATTGGCAGCATCAGAAGTAATCAAAAATTAAATTCTCTTTCCAGGTCACGACAAGAGAAGGTCTTATGAATTTTGAATGCACCAATCGCGGCAATCCCTATAGGATGGAGAAAGGATGGTAAAACACAGCCAAGCTCTAAATTACCTGGACTTCACACAGAATTAGAGCAGTAACTTACATCATGCAAAAGATATAGGTTGGGGCAGTGACTGAACTTGTCATTTGTCACTGAAATTACTAAATGGCTGCATAATCAAGCTGGGCTTTAAAAATGGATGGGGGAGGGTGCACAGAGAGCAAGCTGGAGAAGCAGGGACACCAGGAGATTAATGACCCAAGGTTTTAAATATTAAGGCCTGTATTTATACAGCTCCTCCAGCAGGAACCCAGCCAAGGGAGGGAAGAAGCCCACACTTAGAGCTGCCTCATTAGGGTGGTTTCCACTGCTCGAATTGCACCAGGACCAAGTCTTGTTTGCATTGGATTCCCAGGGAGATAGGAAGTTGGCTGCCTGAAATCTGAGGGTAAAGCCTACTAATGCCACTGTTTCACAGGGATGTTTATTTTTAACATAAAAGGAATCAGCAGACCTTGGTTAATGGAGGCCCTCCCATTCGAGGGGAACCAGTGAGCCGGCCTGGGGTGGAAGGAAGATGCAGGAGTTCATGCACACACCTGCCCTCTGTCTTTCCTGTGTGGGACGGGAGTGGGAGGGCACAGAAAGTAAGCAAATGGTATTGAAAATATCACCTCCATTCCTGGGCTAGAGAAATGGTTTCCCGGCCTAAAAAAATGCAAAAGGCTTTCCCTCCAGAATCTTCACAATTGTTACGGCAATGGCTGGGCCATGTCTTGAATCCTACTTGTTTCCCTTCAGAGTTTCCAGTGTGACAGGGAAGGATTATGACACTGTCAAGTGGAGGTGTGAGGGGCCATGACGTAGTGGTGCTGTCACAGGCTAGGGTGAAGGGTTACAGCAGGTTTGTGTCACGAGGGTTGACATGACATAATGGGAGGGGTGTGATATGGGCCGCAGGATGATGGGTTTGACCACAGACAAGTCATATGGCCAAGACCAAGTTGAGTCATGACTCCTTATTAGCTAAACCCTCCAAGGCTTCTTATCTCTTGGAAAGAATAGAAAGGCCTAACAATCTATTCTTAGGCCTACCTACCCCTCCAACACCATTTCCATCTTCTGCCCCCCTCCTTGCTGGTACAGAGACCACCAGGTACATAGTGTTCCAGTCCTTTCACTTGCTCTTCCCACTGTCTGAGCTGTGCCCCCAAGAGCTCATTCTCATCTCCCCCTTCATTCAGGCCACCTACACACAGAGGCTTTCAAGGGAAACCCACCTGAAAGGCCAGCTCACCAGTATTCTGTCTCCTTCTATTTTTTTTATTGCTTTATTCTATAGTACATATCAATTTCAGACCTTTATTTCCTGTGTTCCTCCACTGTCTTGCTTGAATAAAGACTCCCCCAGTGTAGTGCTTGTTTCTGCTCACAGCTCTCTACAAAGCCTGGAGTAGAAGCCATGAGTGTAGGGATGTTGTGATGGTCATACAGACAGCTGTGGGGCCACCCCGGGTGTCTTTTAAACTCTCACTATGTCTGTGTCTCTATAGCTATAGACATTAAACATGGCAACATGGGGAACCACTGTATCTCTTCCACAGGTAGTTTTATTTTGTTGTGGATGGGAGGTGCTGAGCACTACATATCTAAGCTCATGTGCCATACAATGCTTCTGAGCCCTACCTGCCAATAATAGGAATGTATCCTGCATCTCAAAACAGAAGTGGTCTGTCAGCTGGAAAACCTATATATTACACCTTGCAGATCCCCACCCTCCTGACACACACACACACCACCCCCATTCCCACCCTCCAACCATCAGCACTACAGAAATATTTGGGCTCAGTTGTCCCCAGGGGAACTCACATGCGCTTCAGTTTCTTGTATTGGGTGAAGGCTCCTGCAGGAATGGATTTGATGGAGTTCTGTTCTAAGCGTCTGAGGGGAACAGAACACAGAAGAGCCAGTTAGCCATTCATTGTCAATAAGTGGTTACTGAGGACCGCTGCGTTCTCTGACCTTGGGGGCACGCTGGCGTCTCTGATCAGAAGGCATACCTTTGGGTGACAGGAGACAGAGAAAATGCTGTGATAGCCAGTGAGGTCAGTTTTTGAAATGCAGAGAACTATCCAAGGGTCTAAGAATTTTTGGAGAAATCTAAAAAGGATGGTTTTTCCTTGAGGGTTCTCAATTCTTTCTTATTACAAGTGGCCCCTAGAGAATGTTCTAAGAAGTAGCCAAGCAGAGTGCTGAAAAATCAAAGGGAAAAAGGAAAAATAAAAAGAGATGGACCATGGCCAGTAACGCTCATCTGTCATGAAATCATGTCACTAGTCAGTGAAAATTTCAACCACACAGCTAATGGATAGAAATCTCAACAGCTGACTTCATTTCTGGGTTTTTCAGTCAGCTGTTGTAATGCCATGGACAAGTAATCAGAAAGCCCGCAGGCGCCCGGCCTGTCCTGCATCGCACTGGTTTTCTGATAGCCCGAGGCCCTAGGAGCTCAGGTAAGACTACTATCTGGGGCTGCTACTAGAATCTGTGGCTTCAACTTCACACAGACTTCTCGGATTGAATGCTTCTGCTCTTGCTGCTCTGGAAAGAGAAAGAGAAGCTGCAGGCCCAGGGCCCAGGACCAGGAAGGAAAGAGGCTGTGGGAACAAGCCAGCCTTTCTATTCTTCGCACTTTGATCTCTTGTGACTTCCCATCACCAGAACAGGTGTAGGGGGAGACAGGCATGGGCAGGAGGGGTACTTGATCACAGGTGATGAATGATGCCTGGTCCAGGCTGAGGGCTCAGCATCACCTCCCCATCCATCTCTCCTCCCCGGAGGTGCAGATCCTTCATCACCTCCTCACTGGGAGCTAATATTCCCCAAACTCTCTGCTGGGAAGACTTAAAAAAAAGGTGTGACTGGAGGAAGGGAAAGTGGGGAGAGAGAGAGAGAGAGAGAGAGAGAGAGAGAGAGAGAGAGAGAGAGAGAGAGAAATGGGTTTCCTTGGAGGCTACGTCTGGAGGATGCACATTTCTGGCTGGGCTGAACCCATTCATCTTGAAGAGTAATCCCTGCTGCAGAGTGGGGGAGACAGTTGTATTAATTTGTGCCTCTGCGATCTCATCTTCATTGGGGGAACAGAGTATTTGTTACTGGAACTGCTAATGGAGCAGTTTGCCAGCAATTTTCCCATTTCAAACAACATCTCAGCTGCTAATGTGGAATGGTTTGTCAGGCCTACCCATAATACAGACAAATCACTCTCCAGGAAAAAGGAAGGGGGAAAGGTGGGGGGAGGAAGGGGAGGCAGCGAGAGGAGGGAGCAAGCATCAGGACAGATCATTCTTGGCTGCTGGATGAATGGAGTCTACAAATGAGACTGCCATGGTCTATTACCAATGTCTTTGTGCCCTGCTGGAGGGGGCTAGAAGGGTTCTTTGCTGGGACTGCAGCTACAGGCAGGCTGGACAGGGGTCTGGCTGGCTGATGGGCTCATAATAAGCCACCAAAGTTTGCCAGAGGGTCTCAGGGACTGTAGGCTCCCTGATACAGCCACCCACAGAGGAGCCTGCCTTGACTGAGAAGTTTCCAGGACATTTTCCAGCTAAGCACAGAGTTCAGCAGGAATTTCTCAGCTGAGACAGCAGCTCTATGGATATCTGGGGCTGCCAGTCTGGTGGCATGTGCTCTCCAGGAATCCTGTGATTTGCTTGGGGAAGGGGTTTCGGCTGGCTAGTTCCTTTGGGGAGAAGCCCTGTCTGTAGCGACGGCAACCCCCTCTCTTTTTCAGGAGGACCTACTATTTCCTGCTGCAGGCCAACAGCCTCTGAAAGATAGACTAGGGTGGGGTGTGAGATCTGCTGGCCTGTGGTCCAGTTCCTAATCAGTTAACCTCATTTCAGTGCAGAGGAAGAACCAATGGAGGGATGAGTCGATGAGCAGAATGTGACACTAGCCCCAAGGTGTTAACAGTCTGCTGACAGAGATGATCCCAACATGGCCCGTCACAACATGGTATTTTATTTGCACTGTAATCAATGAGAAGAACCATTGTTTATGGGGTTTAGTTCATTTTTCTTTTACTCTATGCCTATGAAGCTAGCTGTATTGCTCCATTTTTCAGATCAAGGGAAAAAAACCTAGAGGGTCAAATAACCTGTTCAAAGTGAAGGACCTATTAAGTGGCAAAACGGAGATCTATTTTTTCTTTTGATCCAATGCATTGCCACTGTACATCTGTGAAAATGGGAAACTGGGAAAATTTAGGAGATGAAGACCCGGATGCTCACTTCATGGAAGCAGGCGAAAGAATGCAGGGGCTGAGGTAAGGTGGAACATCCATGTAATTATCGTCAGCCCTTCGTATCCATGGGTTGCATACCCACAGTCAATCGACTGATACTCAAAAACATTAAGAAAATATTACACCCCTACTGAACAGGTACAGACATTTTTCTTGTCATTATTCCTAAGCATACAGTTTAACAACTACATAACATTTATACCATGTTAGATATTATAAATAATCTAGAGATGATTGAAGTATACATCATTTTATAGAAGAAACCTGAGCAGCGGAGGATTTTGGTGGGAGTCTTTGTGGAGGGTCCTGAAGCCACTCCCCACGGAGATGGAGGGAAAACTGTACATAAAATATAGGAATAGAGCACAATGGCCTTGCTGTTGGACAAAGAACAAAGGATTCCCAGCTTAGCCTATTAACGCTGGCAGAGACTCTGCTCTGCACTGCCAGCCCCTCAAGCTTGCTCACTCTAGGGATCTGGGAATAGGTCTTGCCTGCAGCCTCCCAGTTCCCCACGCTGTTCGGATACTGGCTGAGCATCCCTCTCTTAATGGAGCATCAAGGCTATGATCTGATGGGAATTAACGTTGCCCTAGGAAGCATCAGGGATTTGTCCAGGATGTGCAGATGGGGGTCGGGGTGGCGGGTCTGTGTACCTTAGAGAGAAACCAGAGAGAGGCCTGGGAAGGGATACCACCAGCAACACGAGGTGATACCCTTCAGGCACTTCCATCAAACCACATGCGCTGCAGCGAGTGTCGCATGGAACTGCATCTACCTCCATGGTGACACCCCTCTGAATTGGGTCTTATTGGTTATCCTCATCTCCATTTTAAATATGAGAAAACTGGGGCTCAGAGAAGCAAAGTCACTTGCCCGACTTCACAAAGCCCGGAGGAACTACAGCTGCGCCTCCCACTGAGCTCTTCTGATTCCAAAGCCTGGACTCCCAGCTGCTGAGCTTTACGGAGCCTCCACTATTTCAGTCCTTGCCAGCCCATCTGCTGGGAAAATGACACCTCTGTCACAGAGCAGACCTAGAGCATGTACATACATGTGTGCATGTGCACCTACAGTCCCCATGCAGCAGGGACCCGCTGGTAACTTAAACACATTGCCCAGTTAAATATACTGCACTCTGGAACACAGAGGCAACAATCTAGTCTTCCTTTGGGAGGCGAAGAAAAAACAACTTCAGTACAAAGAACAAAAAGAAGCACTAGCATTTGCAAAAACTGTCACATTTTGGGATGTGTCTGAAGCCAACAGCTGTTCCAGGTCTCTTAACTGGCACATGTGTCTCCTTTTGTCTGGCAAACATTCTTCAGGCTGCAAACTGATTTAATAAGAGCAGCATAAAAACAAACACACAAATCAAACATCCGAGTGTCTTCCTGCACCAGCAGAAACAATGGGGGCACCGATGGGGTTTTCAGCCATTCATGCTCTCTAGTGATTCACTCTCATTCCTTGGGTTCTTTCTTAATGATCTGTCATTTGCAAACATGTGACAGAACACAAGGTATTTCCAACAGCACACAAGGCGACCTGATGCCAGAGAGTGGCAGGGGCACCACCTATGTGGGGGCACGTCCGCAAGCCACCTGCGCAGAGGTGCAGCCGCTGTGTGGCAATTCTAGTGGCGCTAGCATGATGCTCTGATGGACATCGACTGTTTACTGAGGGCTTCAGACGCTGGCACACACTACACCCGCCAACAATATTGTGACGCAGAAGTATTTTTAAAATACGCGTTTTAGGGCCAGGGATGTGCCTCAGTGGCACAGCACTTGCCTGGCAGGTGTGAGCCATTGAGTTTGATTCCCAATACCAAAACAAAGCAAAAAGTATTTATGAATAGGGAAGGTGGGGTACAAGAGGTCAGTTTGCTTCAGGTCAGTTAGCTGGTGAATGGCTGACCTAGACTTGAATCTGGCTTGGTCTGATGCAAATAGTGCCCAAGTTCCTAATTCCTAGGCTATACGGCACCTTCCATAAATTCCCCTTCATGGTCTAACTTTTACCCGTCCCTCTTGGTCTTTGACTTAGGAACTCTTGTTAGGATGTCCAGCTCCTTCTGGAGGGAGGAAATGCCACGCTTATCCTTCCCTCAAGTCATCTTGGGCCATTTTGTTGGAGACCAGACAACAATTCAGCCGAAAGGTCCGATTCCTGATGCTTCACTACACCTTGTCCAGAGCTGAAGGAGAAGGTCCTTTTCAAGGCTGTGTCTGGCCCAGCTTCTCAGCATCTCCCTCCAGCCTCCCTTTCTTTTGTTTCTTGTGGTGAGTGCTAGACCCCTCCACTGGGCTTATGTGTTTATGTCACAGCAAAGAGGAGGGCAGATGACGCTCTAATGCGAACCATCTCTAACTTCCATCTGTAGGCCACCTGTCATCACCCCTGGAACACTGAGGTGCAGATACAGTACCTGATCAATTCTTTTGGTCAGATGCACACGTACAGATACCTACAGAGGACGTGTTTTTAATCCTAGAGCAGCATGGGAATTTGAGACTACCTCATTCCAGCCTGTCGCATATGCCTGTGTGGGCATAGGTTTTCGCATCCTTGATTCCATTTTTTTTAGAAGCTTCCTAACACTGTGTTAACTTCCACACATGAGGCTCTTTGA